GAAAAAAAAAAAGGGCTGTTATGTGTGAGAACACGCAAAAGAGAGAGAGAGAGAGAGAGAGAGAGAGAGAGAGAGAGAGAGAGAGAGAGAGGGGGGGGGAAATCTAAACAAATAGCTCCTTATTAATATTTATTTCAAACCCCCTGCGGGTTGTCCGAGAGGGCCCTGCACACAATCAGCAAGGGTCACGTTGCCTTGAACGAAGTAGCAGTCGTGGCCATGCTGAAGGTATGGCACGCCAAGTATATATGCTGTTGATTCACTTTAAGGTCCATGTTTCAGCAGTTATTGGACCACTGAGCACGCGAGTTTCAGGGCAATAGCAGGCCAACTCACCACGTGCTTTTCAGGGCTTCCCTCCACTAAAAATGTGCAAAACTAGAATGAATCTGCTGCTAGAACATGGAACCGTACGCCGCCATATGTTTTGTCTTTTGTCTTTTGTGCAAGTGGTGACGAGTGAAGCAAGGCCCTTAGGGCCACTTGTCGTAGGAAAAGGAAACAAAAGAAAGAGAGGAATGAATCTTCTGCTAGAACGTGGAACACATACGCCGCATATGTTTTGTCTTTTGTGCTGGTGACGAGTGGAGCAAGGCCCTTAGGGCCACTGCTCGTAGGAAAAAGAAACGAAAGAAAGAGAGAGCTACGGTAGTAAGTAGTTGTAACTTGTAACCCATAACTGCTCGAAAGCAGACCTGACTTCGGATCCAGAACATATATTGCTGGCCTGCTCTTCTTTTATATGAAATTTGCTGAACATCTCTTGAGATGTTGGGACCCTTGCATATGTACTGCTGGGGTCCTCCCCGAAAAAGACTATTCAACAAGGAATACGTGGGCCCTATTTTCTTTTCTGTGGGGAGGTGCACCATTGGCTACCTCAGCCAGCCATCTCAATTTTTTTTTAATATCCTATTTAGTGGGGTGCGTCGCATCACGTGCGCGTGCATGCTTACACGTGCGTTATGCGCCGCACGTGCGGAGCTCGCGCGCACGCGATACGCCGCAGGTATGGGTTGGAGTATAGGTGGAGTATAGGTGGAGTATAGGGGTGATATAGGGGATATTGGGGGGGTTAATAAGGATGTTGGGGGCGGTTCGGGAGTGTTAGGTTGGTGTATGCGGGTATTGGGGGCCGCTATGGAGGTATCGGTGGTGTTATTAGGGGTTCTGGATCCCAAAAAAAAAAAAAAAAAGTGCGGGGTGCCGATGATCCCCGACTGCTAGGTGCCGACCAGCCGATCAGTCGGCGGGTCGGCAGCCGACCAGTCAAGGGCCGCCGACCGTCGGGGTGTGCAACACTGGCATTCAGTCCATTTCTCAAGGCCAAGCAAAGCCAGTCCGATATGCAAGAAGCGGGCCAGGAGGAACGGGGGTAAAGGGGGGGTGAAGGGGGGGTAAAGGGGGGTAGACAGGGACGGGGGGCCAGGGGATAGGGGGCCAGGAGTAACTCATGGGGGACTCGTGGGGAACTAGAGGGGTGATAATAGAATGAAGGGTAAGAAGTACTAAGAACATCAAAGAAGCAGTGGTGACATGGAATCGCTGTAATGAAAGGGAGCAGTGAAGTAGTCGTGAGAACTTGAGAAGCTGAAATTAAGGTAAGCATACATTAAATTGGACGGAGCATAGGACAGTGCATATACGCGAAGGGGAAATTAAGGTAAGCATACATCAAATTGGATGGAGCATAGGACAGCACACATATGCGAACACAGATAAAGTACTGAAGAGAAGGAAAAGGGACGGTAAGGGAAATGATCGCAGCAAGAGCAGGACAGCGCACATGCGGAAATATAGATGGAGAACTGGTAGGAAAAGGGAAATAACTTCAAATAAGTGGAATGGTTGCAGCAAAAGAGTACAGAAGACTGAGTAAATGGAAATTAAAGGAAGTATACGCTAACTATGTGAAGAAGTAGAGGACATATGTGGACAGGGATGGACGAGGAAGAGGATTAGAGGATTAAGGGGTTTGGGTACCGTCTGTAGGATTGGGCATATAACAGGGAAAAAGAGGAGCTCTGATCACAGGTGGAGGGGCTTGGGCGTTTGGGTACTATGGGAAGCCTCCTGGCCTCGGGCCATCGCTGAAAGTAACCAGGGTAACTTCTTTTTTTCCCTGCGGAGGATCCTCTTATTGCTTTCTTTGTTAAAAACTCTGTTCCCGTTCATTCCCCTCTGCTCCAATGTTCGTTATCACTTGCTGCCTACACTAACGTTTGGTTTGATTCAAGGCTTGGTTGACATTGTTTTGGACATTGTTAAGCTTCCGTTGCATGGTCTCGTTGCACATGCCCAGTCTCTGATGAAGTACCTCTCTCCCCCCTGGGCTATCACTTATATCCCGCTCTCTGGACCCTAAGCCGTTCTTCTACCGCTCGCCTACTGACAGTACACAGCTGATGCTTGACTTCCAGACTATACGGCCCGGCTGGAATTCCAAAACACAAACCTGCAAACCATCTTGATTGTCAGTTGATTATCGGACAACAGAAAAACAAATCTTATCAAATGCAAGGGCAAAACATACAACAGAATACAAATGGGCACAGAACTTACATTTTGAATCTTTCGGAGGCGGTGAAACGGCTGCAATGAGTTATTCATCAAGAACTCCCTCTTCACATCGTCATGCACTTTCTTTGTGTACCTTTGTTTAGGAGCTATCCGGCATAGCTGCAAAACAATAAACATATAGTAATAATAGTACCATATACATATGTTAGACTGTTCAATTGATGCCAAGCATTAATCATTTTCAGACTTGAATACCGCTCCGCTTAGGAGCCGGCTCCCCACTGTGGCTGAAGGAAAGAAAAGGCTTGCCCCAGCCAGCATGTCAAACTCCAAAGAAACTTTTCAATCATGTTCCGCTTAGGAGACAGCTTCCCTGAGTAAGTGAAAGGAAGTAAAGAATGCGGCGGAAAAAAGGGTAGTACCAGCTTCCCCTGAGCACACACACACACACACACGGACTGACGGACGGACGGACGAACACACAGACAGACAGACAGACAGACAGACAGACAGACAGACAGACAGACAGACAGACAGACAGAGAGGGAACGGCTTCCCCCCGGGCCTGAAGGATATGACAGACTTCCCCCAGGAGACAGCTTTGCCCGGTGACTGAAGGATAGGAAAGGTTTCCCCTAGCCTGCATGACATCGCAGAGGAAACATTTCAACCATGCTCTTCCCCCAGTGAGTTGCGAAAGGAAAGAAAGCGAGTGCCCCAGGGCCTGAAGGATATGACAGACTTCCCCCAGGAGACAGCTTCACCCAGTGACTGAAGGATAGGAAAGGCTTCCCCCAGCCTGCATGACAACACAGAGGAAACATTTCAACCATGCTCTTCCCCCAGTGACTTGTGAAAGGAAGAACGCAAGTTGAAAGAAAGGGTTATACCATCTTGCCCATCTTGCCTTGTACACAACCCACACCAACCATGGAAAAAGACAAACAGAGAGAGACAGACAGCTCTCTCTCTCTCTCTCTCTCCCCCCCCCAGTGACTTGTGAAAGAACGCGAGTTGAAAGAAGGGTTATACCATCTTGCCCATCTTGCCTTGTACACAACCGACACCAACCATGGAAAGAGACAAACAGAGACAGAGACAGATCTCTCTCTCTCTCTCTCTCTCTCTCTCTCTCTCTCTCTCTCTCTCTCTCTCTCTCTCTCTCTCTCTCTCTCTCTCTTGCCCGCACGCGCGCATGAGTGAGGTTTAAAACTCCTATCCCTCCTCTGCCGCCCTTGTTTTGCCATTTTCTTTCCAAGATGAACGGGATCGAAACCGTTATTTCCCTGTTCATCCTCATCGTCCTCCTCTCCCCCCTTCCTCCATGACTCACAATCGTTCATTGAACCATCAAAACCCCTTTTCCCTCCTTCCCCCCATACTCCCATGCCAAACAATTACAAATAGTGAAGCCCAACACAGCATTTTTGAAATGAAAAAGTCAAAATGAGGGCGGCAGAGGAGGGATAGAAATTGTTGATGAAAAAATTGGCTTCCGGTTTCTTGTGGAAAAACATCAACAAACATCAACAAACATCAAGAAACAGATGAGATGCAGCGCACCATGAACCCCGCCCCCCCTTCACCTCCTCCTCATCCTTTGTCAAACCAAGACAAACGGGAAGGCTGAAGCAACGGTCTTAGAAAAAAGAAAAAGATGAAAACAGCAAAGGAGGGGAGGGGTTGGTTGTGCTTGTTCCCATGGTAGTGATTGAGCGGGTACGATGCTGGGAACCCCTCTCCCCTTCGTCCATCCTCCTCTCCCCCTTTCCTCCACGACTCACAACTGTTCATCACAAACCCCTTTCCCCTCCACCTCCCTCCCCCCATACTCCCATGTCAAACAACAATAACAAACAGGAAAACCCAAAGCATTTTCTGAGAAGAAAAAGCCAAAATCAGGGAGGAGGAGGGAGAGGGGCTGATGATGAGGACATCCATTTCCCTTGTGGAACAAATGGGAATGCAGCGCACTGGGAACCCCTCTCCCCTCCTCCTCCTTCTCATCCCACGTCAACCCGTGACAGACGAGAATGTATGAAGCAGCGGTCTTAGAAAAAAGAAAAACATGAAAACAGTGGAGTGAAGGACAAGGATGATTGTGCCAATGTGCTTATTACCCACCCATTCTAGTTACCGAATGGGAGTGTGAAGCTGTGAAACCCTCTCTCCTTCTCCACTGTGTATACCCCCGTACGAATACGGGCCGTACGTACGTACGGGCTCACGTGGTCGTACGGGCCGTACGTACGGAAAAAAAGCACAAAAAAAAAAAAAAGCAAAAAACTCTGAAAAAAAAAAATGTTATGCAGAAAAATAAACTGAAACACTTTTGCCTCAGGGTCATATTGAAATTCRTTACCAAATTTGAGATAAAAAATAAAAACCTTTTTTTTTTTTTTTTTCTTCGTACGGGGCTGTACGTACGGCCGTACGGCCGTTCATACGGCCGTACGTACGACCGTACGATAAACCCCCCGTACGTCGTACGGAGTGTTACACAGCTTCTCTACTGACTCCTACTACTCTCCCCTTCCCCCTGAAACACACAAACACCCATTGCCACCCCCAACCGCACTGCAGTCCTCCGCCTCCTCCCTCCAATCTGCTCCATTTCCTTCACAGCATACAGGATAGTAGACACATAAAAAAGGCCACGAAGTGGGAGAGGCAGGATTCGAACCTACGTAGAAATATAACCTTCAACAGATTTACAGTCTGTCACTTTTAACCACTCGGCCACTCTCCCGAAGAATTCAGCATCCTACAGGATTTGAACCTGTGAGGGACCTAATCTCTAAAAATGGCGGGCTATTAGCTCAGCTGGTAGGGCGCGCCCCTGATAATTGCATCGTTGAAAAGATCTCAAAGCAGCATCACAAAAAAGGTTACAGACAGAGGGAGGGGGAGGCATAGGAGAGATGGGTTGTTGGTATTCATCTCCCGCTTGTCATGCCAAGAAATCAATGGTAGAGTAGCGCCGTAAACGCCTCTCCCCTTCTCCTCTTCCTTCCCTCCCTCCTCTAGCTTCTTCTCCTCCCACCACAGATGAATCTGGTGCTACCAAATGCAGGTGATGAATATGACGATGACATTGATAACCATAAAGGTCATAGAGATTGATGATCATAGTGGTTTAGGGAATAACATTCCACATACATTGATTCGGATGTATACATCCAGTGGCTTAGTGATAGCACTTCACATCCAGTGATTTTGCGTTCCCACTTTGTGGAAAGTAAACTGGCCTATTTACACCAGCTACCACCTCAAACTTCAGAAAGGAAATGACAAAATGTAACCATTCATACCGGCAGGAAACCACAAAAAAGTGCAGCCACTCGCCCTAGCCAGTGACGGCCGAGCTGTTTGCAATCCTCAGAGACTTTACTTTACCAAACCTATTGACAGTCAGTTTATAACTTCACAAGCTGCAGTGAAAACAATGGCCGGTTAACAGTATGCAACAGTAGTATGCACATAACGGACAAGGTAAAGTGACAACACTGGTGGCTTAACAGGTTACCGGTAAGTAACACCATAAGCTCTCGCTGTGCCGCCTGGGCCAGGCTGGTAAATAACCAACCAGCCATTTGACCAAGCGCATGGACCAGGTACAATTACAAAGTCGATTAACCACCTGACACAGCCAGAGCTTATGGTGTCCATTGTTTGTGAACTGCCTCCAGACCAGCCACATTTGACTACCGTCTTCACCCGAATAAAACGCCCGGTCATTATCGCTGCATCTGGACTGAAAGTTGTGCCAAATGCAGCTATAATGACCGGGCGTTCTATTCGGGCGAAGACGATAGTTCACTCATCAACCAGGTTCACAATACCATACAGTATCAATCAATCATTGCAAGTCTTCTGACTCAGCGTCCAATTTGGATTATGCAACGCCTCCATCAAGCTTAGCACTGACTTCACCTTCATGGGAATATACTTGGGCCTATCCGGTACAAAATGATTCCCAGATAGTAAATCACAATTAGCTACTGCATTGTTCGGCTTGTAAACACGTGAGAGCTGGATTGACAAGGTCGACTGACCTCCTACATTTGACAGGAATTCATTCATTGACCAGGTTCATTCTAATCTTGGATTACAATTTACAAATCAATTGTCATGATCCAAACAAATTTTGACCGGGATTATGCACGAGTACTATTAAGCCTAGCTCTCAGACTTACCTCCATGGGAAAGTACTTAGGTTTATCCTGTGAGCCACAATTGATCGCTGGCAGGTATGAGTATTCCACCTCGATCTTATACTGCTCTTCAAAGTAGGAGATGACCCTTGATGGTCTCCCGTTCCAATCAAACCTGCATTCATCACGGCACACAGATTCTCTTCAGGATGGCATACCGCAAATTCCACGCGCAAAAGTCTGACAATAAGTGTGGGTGGCTTAAAAAGGGCAGTACATGAAGGGAATAGATACGAGAGTTACGAAACCAAAAATGGACAAAAAACTCAACCAAGACCAAAACCAACCAAACCAAACCATAACAAAGAAAACGAATCAAAAAAAGCACCAAAACCAAACCAAACGACCACGGAAGCGATTGCGAGAGGTACATGACTGCAACAAGCAACATGTGACCCGAACCGAACCAAGACCAAACCCAACCCACACCAAAACCAAACCCAAACCCGAACCCACCCCAAACCAGAACTAAACCAAAAGCAAAACCAGACCAAAACTGATCAAAAGTTCAAAACCAAAACAAAGCCAAAAACGGACCAAAACCAAAACCAAACTCAAACCAAAGAACCAGAAGCAAGTCACCCACAAAAAAGGAGCCAATACAGAACCTCTGAAAATTGAGGATGCAATTGCAATCAAGCCTCATAGAGATGGATGAGCAAAGAGAAAACAGAAGCACAGTTCTGGAAAACCGGAGTGAAATTGCACGCGAACATAACTTTTTTTTCCCACTGGGCTGTTTCCAGTGGAGTTTGAACTCGGGTCTGTATTTCAACAGTTCAAGGGCGGACCAACTGAGCTAGCTTAACAGCAGCAGCAGCAGTGAAGGAGAAAATGATCAAACAACACAAACCCAAAATGACACACAGTTCCAGAAAACTCGACTGCAATTGGGATCAATTCGTACGAGAAAGGAAGACCAAGGAGAGAAAGAGAATATAACCACACAATGACCTGCTCATAATGAGAGACAGTTACCACAGTAACTGACATGCCCTTACCACAGTAATTCACATGCTTTCTACCATCTTTGCACCCTCGTCATGAGAATCTACAAGCTATCTTTCCAGTCCAATATGTGTTTGGGTGACTACGATAGCATATAACACAAAACCCATTCAGCAAAAATAAGGGAGGGGATGCTCATATCACTCCCCCTAGTGTGGTTGCGGGGTTAAAAAAAAAAAAAAAAAAGGTCATCTCTTGCAGAACATTGTAGCGCTTGTCGGCAGGCCCCGCCAGTGATACATGTGCACACTTGCCAGGACTATGACCAGTTCCGGGAACAGTTTCATATTTTCTGAACCTACAAGTAGCATGCACGGACTGAGCAACAGGTTTGCGAGTGTGATAGATGTTAAAGGAGGTAGTTGAACCAGACTGCAACACGACTAAGCAGACAAGAAGCCAACGAGTATCTTCCCTTCCCATGGTGTGCCTAATGCGGACTGGCGTCCTTTGCAAGAAAGCCTCCATCCCGCTGGCTCTCTTACCACCACTGGACTGCACGCTTTCACGGAATGGTTTTACTAAAAAAAATAAAAAAAAACTTAAAAAAAGACAAAAGCTTAACCTAGTCTGGGAGGATAAACTAATTGCTGGGATTAGAAAACCAGTACATTTCCGTGGTCTAATGGAAAGAGCACACATATATTTGTTTCCTAACTCTACGCCGGGTGACCCTCGGCAACCTGACATCCCAGCTTTTCAGGTCATTCCCGACTACAAATCCCATTGCCCCTGTGTATTAAGTCAGAATAATTCAAATTGAGTTTGTGCACCATAGTTTAAACTGAGTGACGTAATTAAAATCGAGTCTGTGCAGAATTCTTATCATTGAGTGTAGTCCTCCCTCAGGACCCTCACAAAGCAATAGAAGGCTCTTCCCCATCAAATGTTTGAATTGCATGGAAGTTTATTGAAAAAAGAACTTGGGGAGCAGTGGGCACACATGAAAAGCTTCATCTGCTGTGCCCCAGCGCTTGCTGAAACCACTTACTGGAGTTGGCTGAGGGGTTGAGTAGACAGCGATTTGCAGCGATAGACCCTTGGCCTGGTGCCATAAATAGTTTCTATCTTGAGCCCCGACAGAGCTGACTGTGCCTACAATTGCAAGAGGAGTGCACGAACATGATACCAGTATGGTTGGACAAGGTGTTACAACCTCCACATGCAATTGCATTAAATGTTTCAGAAATAACATCTGTTGGGAAACATGCTGGCAAACAAAAAACAAGCACACTTCCCTCTGCTTCTATCTTATCTCACACTTGCTAAACGACTTCTAAGTTCTAATCCCTTTTTAATAAGTGCATGGAAAAAGTGGCGTACACATGTTGCGCTACAACATCATTGTGGTTACTCAAATAAATACAGCTTCGCTGGTTGTCCACAAAAAAAAAAAGATGTTTAAAAATCATAGTTAATTACGAAAGTGCTAGCATCAATGGTTTTTCGGTGATCGCACCGTTAGGCGGCTTCCTGGAAGCGGGAATTCTTTGTCAAATTAAATAAAGTGAAGCTTACGGAAACCAAATATTTCTGTTTTCTTTTTTAAATCATAGGTGTTGGATATAAACCTAGTACTAATCCACAGAGCTCCAACTTATCCTGAACGTTTTCTTTTCTCCTACTACAACCCAGACAACACTTGCTAAATGATTAATAAATAATAATAATTTAATTTCAAATTTGGCAGTTTTGGCAGCTCCTGTTTTTTTTTTTTCCTGTGGAAACTTAGCAAGGGCTTCACCTGACTGAAATATCCACAGCACAAACTGATTCCCCCTGACAGGGGAAAGGACCTTCGCATCTTTGGATCTTCCTCTGATTCCCTTTTAGCACCTGACACACGCTGGATGCACAAGGGGTTAACGGGGCAACCGGTTTTCAGGGCTGAAATTTCTGAAATTAGGGTTTTGGGGTTAGATTTCATGTTTTTTCGAATTTCAAAATTTTTTTTTGCTAGATATGCATTTTGATAGGGTTGCTGTGTGTGAAATTTGGGGTTATTTGGTGTTTTAGAATTTGCGCTTGAAAAAAAATTGGCATATATTCTCTTTTGCCATTGAGAATTTACTGATGGTTTGGCAAAAATTTACTGCTGGTTCCGGTTATCCAATCCACAAGATTAGCCACCTGCCAGGAACCAGGAAAACATTCTGGGTGAAATAAACATCTAGACAAAATAAACATCACCACCAATTAGAACAGTTTAAAGTTTCAACTTTAAACCATCGGTACATCTGGGGAATCAGGAATGAGCCTCTCCAGAAAAGTTTAGGGACTCGCGACAGGGCCCACCTGGGGGAGGGCAGAATATTTTCTTGTTCAGGGCCTGCAGGGGGTAAGGCAGAATATTTTCTTGTTGAGTGCTGCACCTGGTTCCCTCCCAAGGCATGGGACAATTTGTATTTTTCCACCCTCTTGACCCTCCTTTCGGACGCCCTGTCCCTAGCTTCCCAAGTTATCGCAATTTTCAACTTGGCTGGGACCATGTACTGGTGGTTTAATAAACACCTTGGATATTCTCAATGGCACTTCACTGTTGTCATTTTATGAAGCACAAAGAGAATACAGAGATGAGACAATGAACTAGACTGATAAAGTGATTCAATCAATGGGACGCGTGCCAAGTCTCTGCTCGACAAGGATCAGCCTCACTGGAATTGGACAGCAGAGATGCATGTCGCAAGGCCAGGAGAAAGGTGAAACGCTTAAAAAGACAATAATCAGTGTGGCCGGATGCACCATCTTCAGTACGGAAACAGTATGAAATGGGGAGAGTAAACAAGAAATCAATAAAGGGTCAACGACAGGACGCATCGCCATGGGAAACAGCGCATCCACAGCAGATTGGATGCTTCAAGCATATTGGACAGGAAGCAAGCAGGCTCCTAAGTATGGGCTAGACTGGCAGTCAATCCTTAAGATAGACAGCAATCACACAGTGCAGTAACATGGGGAAGCGTCGAGAGTGTGTATATCATGTATCTTTACGACTTCCCAGTGGAATTGACCTGGACAAAAGCCGTGTTCCAAGCAACTTGGACCAAAGCCGGGTTCCAAGCAACCTGGACTAAAGCCAGGTTCCAAGGGACCTGGACCGAAGCCAGGTTCCAAGGGACCTGGACCGAAGCCAGGTTCCAAGGGACCTGGACTGAAGGCGGGTTCCAAGGGACCTGGACTAAAGCCAGGTTCCGAGCGACCTGGACTCCGAAGCCGGGTTCCAAAGAACCTGGTCGGAAGCCGGGTCCAAGGGACCTGGACTAAAGCCGGGTTCCAGGCGACCTGGACTCCGAAGCCAGGTTCCAAGGGAGCTGGACCGAAGCCGGGCTCCAAGAGACCTGGACTAATGCCGGGTTCCAAGGGACATGGTCTAAAGCCAGGTTCCAAGGGACCTGGACTAAGGCTGGGATCCAAGGACCTGTTTCCAGAAGGGGGAAAAAAAAAAAAAAAACAAGGCAAAGAGTTAAAGACCTGTTTGAGAGATTTAACAAGTAAAGAGGGTGTGTGCGAGATGCATGAGTTGATGGTGGCACACACGTGAGTCGGTTGCAGACATACACATAACATGGCAATGTGAAGAAAATAAAAAAGACACCAAAAGAGGAATAAAAACGGATAACCCACGCAGGCCACACCCGGTCTTAAAAAACAGTGTCCGAACAACCTCTAGGCCCAAAACATAGCCAGCGTCGAATTTGCAGCCTTGGCTGCCCAGCAAGTCTCCTAGATTGACAAGCCACAAACGTCTGATTAGAGAGAGAGGTTTAAGGAGTCCTACAAACGTAGCCAGCGTCGATGGCGCAGCCTTGGCTGCCCAGCAAGTCTCCGAGATTGACAAGCCACAAATGTCTGATTAGAGAGAGAGGTTTAAGGAGTCCTACAAACACAAACAAAAGCACCATGAGGGCCAATGGCCGGATGAGAATGTGGTATCGAACCCTTCCACATCTGACAGTGCATCGCATTTCACACTTTGCTTTCACAAATTGGTTCTGGACCTACATCCAGTCAGATACATTCAGATCAGAAGGTAATTGCCATCAGCTACATCTAGGGAAGCCCAAGTGTGAGTACACTTTAAAATTTCTGATTTGTCTCGGGAACCGAACCGAACGGGTAAGGCACAGATTGGAAACACATCACTTAGACATACCACCTAAATGACTTTTAAAAATGTGGCAATTTTAACCGCCAGAGTTAAGCTGACTGGGAATTAACCGATGTTACCTGGCGAGTGTAAGTCATCAGATGTGAAGTTCTCCTAGGTTGGGCCGTTGCCCGGCGAGGCACACCCAGGCCAGCTGGGCAGGGGAGGATCGCCCGGCCAAACCAGGCAGGTCAAAAAAGAGGGAAGGATCCCAAACCAAAAAAAAACTACCTTAGCGCATGGTCCCAGGTGTACACATCGGTATTTGGACGAGCCCTCATTCTTAACACCTCAGTGTACTCTATGCTGTGGTACGCTGGCACGATATGGACGCCGCCAATCCAGGCAATGAAGGAATTAAGGAGAGAATCAGCGGTGTTCTTGTGGACATCGAACCGAACTAAGAAACATTTTATTTCCAAGGTGGCATGGCAGCATGTCATTAAATCTAAGGACCAAGGGGGACTGGACACACTGGATCTGGAACAACAACTGAAGGCGCTCCAAACAAAATGGATTTTGAAGCTGTTCACGCACCCACAGCTGCCCTGGGTCCCTCTAGCTATGGAGCACATTAGGAAACAGACCAAGCACAAAACCCCCTCCAACATGGAAGGAACCTTCTGGTTATTGAGCAAGAGCTGGGCAAGGAAAGAAAGGAGTGGAAACGAGGGAGGAACCGAAGAAGGGGGCCCTAGCGGAGGGTTGTATTGGGCTCAGCTGCTGAAAGGATGGACGGAAACTTTCCCAGCGAAAGTCAAGGAACCAAGCACAAGGGAGGAAGTCCTGAGACAACCCCTCTTCTGCAATCCATGGGTTAAGGACCGCCAGGGGAAACCGCGTACTCTTACGACGAAAGACACTAAATGGGGAACCTGGCTGGAGCATGGCATCTGGCAGGTCAAACACCTATGGTCGGAAGATAATGAGCAGTGGAAGGCAGCTCGAGAGCTAAGGGAGGAGTTGAAGGGGAGCCACAGGCTGGCAGAGAATCTGAGCGAGATCTTGTATTTAATCCCGGAAGGCTAGATCAGGTTACTTCGGAGGTCACAGCATTGGAATTGCGGAGAGTCTGGTCCAATAAGGACGCTCCAAGGGTAGCATTTACAATTAGGGGACAGGTGGGACCGGGAGCTGAATGGCTGAACGCACAGATGTACACAATCCAATCCCCAGGGGCCTATACAAGTCAATTGGACAAGGACACGGCCACCCAGATCACCATAAAAAAGGACCAGCTGAGGAAAGTGAGCGTGATAGAGATGGAAGAGTTTATGATATTTGCTCCAGCAACGGATATTCAGAACTTGGAGATTGACCCAGTGGAGTGGGCCTGGAACCGCAGGGGGCGCTCACTAGGCATAAAGAGAAGAACCAACATACTGCAGTGACTGCACTATACAACCAAGCTGGGCTACAGACTCAGGAAGCGTTCATCGCCCTTAGCTGAACCCTTAGCTGAACTCATGGGAGAAGAGAATGCAGGTGCCGAAGTGGCAAGATTACCATGGTCATCCTTACATCAGAGCTGCTTAAGTAAGGTAAGGAGTTTGCAGTGGCCGATCCTCCACGTGGCAGTTCCGGTCAACTCATGGCTCTTTGAGCATCGTACTCAACACCACCGTGATCCCTCCAGTCAACAGTGCACACAATGCACGGAAGGAGTACCGGAGACCTTGCGTCACTGTCTCCTTCCTTTCCCAGAAGCAGTATATCTATGGGACATGGCCAAGTCACTCTGGACTACAATCACGGACTCCCCGTTCCCCGAGGGCAAGGAGACGCTTCTGATAGGAAGTGACCCTCCTGCGGTCGGACCTCAGTACCAGAAGCGAACATTCCAGCTCATAAGGCAATAGGCACTATGGACGATATGGAAGCTTAGGTGCCAGCACACCATTGGTAACAAGCAAATGCTCAGGCAAGAAGCGAAGAAGACGCTCTACAATCTAGTGGAAACATACATACAGGCACAATGCAAGAGAATCCGCAAGGAGGCCCAGCAAAACCCAATGCAAGCCAAGGACCTAACGGAAAACTTTCAAAAGAGGGTTTTGCTCCAAGGGAAGATAGGAACATTAGCGGGCTTGGCGCTGAGCTTCCACTGCTTTGAAAGATAGACGGATCAAACAAAAGCAACGAGGGTTTGGGGTATTCCAGAGGTATTTAAAAGGTATAGGTAAGACAGCAAGAGCGGAAGGCCAGTCACAGATTTTTAACTTCTGAGACAGTTAGACAAGATAAGCTAGGTTTTAGGATAGAGGAAAACAGCTTAGCGGGCATTAAGTCAGCTTAGTGGACTTACACGACTAGGGTTTTATGTCAATAGGGACTTGGTCTCCACGTCACTGAGGACAGTAGGGTTTAGGGTTTAAGGAGAGCAGACAGAGACGAGGTAATCGGAAAGACAAGCAACAGCGGTCGGTTTCAGGGCTTAAGGTGAGGTTGGCTGGAAAGATAGAAGGCAGTTTCTTTCGTTTTTTGCTATTTGGTCATTTTGTTAATCCAGTTTAGTCTTTGTTCAGGAATAGCATGAAGCTTCTTAGGAGAAATGGACACTGGACCTGGTTTCCAGTAAGAGCCAAATCTGGGTGATGGCCCCAGTCTTCCGGGTTTGAGATGTAAAGGGATTCCTGGGCTCCTTTTGCTTCATATATATAATAAAGCATGCTATTTCTCCCAAAAAAAAAAAAAACTTCAGGTCAGGACTGTGGGAAAGGTACAGCTGGCGCCTTCAGACGGAGCTGCAAGCTCCAATGATTTGCATACAAACTCCTGCATGACTGAATCAAGCATGCGTGCGAGGGCTGATGTGCTCGACAGGTGCTGTTGACAGCTTACAGTTGCCTATCAGGTTGCCTTTTTTTTTCTGAAAGTGAGACAGCCTTGAGGTAGCATCATCTACCTGACCGGTCCAAGGCAATTCGAACTTCGAAAGTTATGTTATGCATCTGATTCCATCAGGATTCAAACTAGGATTCGAACTCACGTTCTTTTAGCAACAGTTCATGGTTGTGCCATTGAATCTCTCTCTCTCTCTCTCTCTCTCTCTCTCTCTCTCTCTCTCTCTCTCTCTCTCTCTCTCTCTCTCTCTCTCTCTCTCTCTCTCTCTCTCTC